AAGCAGCAGTGACAGCTCAAATATTTGGGTTGCTGCCCCCTACTTGGGAGACCTGAGTTGAGTTCACCTGTTGCCTCCTAGGGTACATATTAGCAGGAAGGTGTAATTGGGAGTACAGCTGGGACTTGAACCCAGGCATTCTATTATGGGATGCCAGCATTTTAACTGCTGGATCAAATATCCACCCATTTATACAGATTAATTTAAAAGAAAGGGTCTACATCACTGGAGACCTTGAGTTTTGGTATGTGTTGGAATTCTCTTTGTTCCATGTTATTGCAGGACTGATTCTGAATAGGAAGTAAAGAAGGAAAACAATTGGTTAAGAGTAGTTCAGGATGGTTTCTGGAAACAGGTGGATGGAACTGATTTGAACTAAGTTCTGGAGAATAGAGATGACATGCATCATCTGCTTCATTGCAGATGAACTTTAAATGTGTATAATGTTTCTGTCAAATGCGTGGTAGCATTGTCTTCTAAAATCAAATGCAAAGGCTAGTGCTTGTAGTCTTTTGTATTCCTCACAGCATGTAGCAGAGTACAGGATGAACTCATGAAGGCTTATCTCTTCTTTGAAGCTTCGCATGACCTGTGCAGACAAAATAGTTACTCCCTGATTTTATTTAATGTTCCTTTAAACAAACCTTGGGTTTTTAAGTCATCTCGGGCTGCCCTAACAAAATATCATCAACTGAGTGGCTTAAACAACAGACATTTATTTCTCACAGTTTTCCAGGCTGGGAAATTTAAGATCAAGGTGACAGCTGACTCAGTTCCTGGTGAGTGCTTTCTTTCTGGCTTGCAGATGACTGCCTTTTCACTCTGTCATCACCTGGTAGGTAGAGAGGTAGGAAGGGAGAGAAGAAGAGGGGGATAGGAGAGTCCGGAGAGGGTGAAAAAGAGGAGGGATAGAAGAGGGAGGAAGGGGGAGGGAGAGAGGGAGAGAGGTGTTTCCTCTTATAAGGATATTAATCCTGTCAGACAAGGGATCACCCTTTTGGCTTAATTTAACCTTAATTACTTCCTTACTGTAGATGCGGTTGCACTGGGGGTAATGCTGCAATAGGTGAATTTTGAGAGGGAGTTCTCAATCCAGTCCTTTGTACCTAGGAACACACTGCCTGTGTTGTCATAATTTGTCTATGGTTGTCTTTGGTAAGCTACAGTCTCTCCTCAGGGGCTGAGCACTGGCCCCAGCATTGAGAATCACACAAAGGCCTCCTGCATTCAAGGAGACTGTTGTATTAGTGTTGCTTTTCCACTACAACAAATTACTACAGAAGTAGTGTGGTTTTTTTTTTTTTTTTTTTTTTTGGACAGGCAGAGTTAGACAGTGAGCGAGAGAAAGGTCTTCCGTTGGTTCACCTCCCAGATGGCTGCCACGGTTGGGGTGCTGTGCCGATCTGAAGCCAGGAGCCAGGTGCTTCCTCCTGGTCTCCCATGTGGGTGCAGGGGCCCAAGCACTTGGGCCATCCTCCACTGCCTTCCTGGGCCACAGCAGAGAGCTGGACTGGAAGAGAAGCAACTGGGACTAGTACCCAGCGCCCCAACCAGGACTAGAACCCGGGGTGCCAGTGCCGCAGGTGGAGGATTAGCCTAGTGAGCCGTGGCGCCGGCCCACAGAAGTGTTTTTAACAACAAAAATTTATACTTGCTGGACTAAAATCAAAGTGTCAGCAAGGCTGTGTTCCTTTGGGGCGCTCTTGGGGAGAATGTTCCCCTGTCTTTTCTAGCATTTCTTGGACTATTAGTTCCTTTCGCCATCTCCAAAACCAGTCAAGTTGCATCTCTACTTTTCTATAGTCAATGTTTCCTTCTGACACAACTGGTAAAAATTCTTTGATCTTATGTATACCTGTGATTAGACTGGGCCCACCTGGATAATCTGGAATAATTTCTGCACCCCAAGGTCCTTAACTTATTAACATCTGCAAAATCCCATTTGCCACTTCAGGTAACATCCGCAGGTTCTGGGAATTAGAATGTGGCTATCTTTGTAGGGACATTATTTTGCCCATCACATTGGTGGAAGAGAGGAGAATGTCAATTAGCGACTTAATGCAATGTGCCAAATGCATAGTGAAAATCTATTTGTTTGGAACCCATAGTGGAAGATGGTTGTTTGACAAAGGACAGTTATAGTTGAGGCACTAGCATCAGGGATGGAGAGGATGAGATAGATTCCAGGGAGGTAGAGTGGGTATAATGTGGGGACCAGATTGGCTTAGCAGATGAGGAAGAGAAAGAGGAAGTGAAAATAACTTTTAGATTCCGAATTGTGACTGGGCTGCTCACTGAGATAGGGAGCATGCTGGAGGATGTATTTATTGGGACACTTTGGTTGCAGGCAAACAGAAATCTGAGTTGAAGTAGGTTAAACAAAGAGGGAAATTCATCATAAGTTATGGGGAGAGGCTGGCTCATGAAACTCAGGATAGGAATGCAGCTGGGCATCAGAAATGAACTACAACAAGGATACTGGTACTATCAGGGCTTCTGTTTTCCATATTCTTGTGTGTGTGCGTGTTTACTTTTCTCTTTCTCCAAAGACAAGTGTCTTTTGTATCTCCTTTTTGTTGGCAAAAAATATTACTAATAAAGTTGCCAACGTTATTCCTCATCCATATGTCAGTCATTCAAAGACCAATCTCTTCTCAATTCCATACTTCTGGGAAAGAGCTTTGACTGGTGCATCTCTAGTCAAGTGTTCATTCTGGTGCACACAGATGTGGTCAGGTCTGTCTTCCTCCCTCACTCCCTCCCTTCTCTCTCTCTCATTATTTATTTGAAAGGCAGAGTTACAGAGAGGCAGAGGCAGAGAGAGAGAGAGAGAGAGAGAGAAAGAGAGAGGTCTTCCATCCTCTGGTTTACTCCCCAGATGGCCACAATGGCCAGAGCTGTGCCGATCAGAGGCCAGGAGCCAGGTGCTTCTTCCAGGTCTCCCATGCAGGTGAAAGGACCCAAGGACTTGGGCCATCTTCCACTGCTTTCCCAGGCCACAGCAGAGAGCTGCAGTCTGGCTTTTCCCTCTGTGCCACAGCACCAGCCCCTCATGCATGCCTTTTCATCTTCATGACCAATGAAGATGAACCAACCACATGTTGGGTAGAGGAGTGATTATTAGAAAAGGCGTGTGGGAAAGATGTCGCAAGAGGAATCTACTTTAGTGGAGAAGACAATGAAGTCAATTTCGTCTCTCTCTCTTGTGTGTATGTGTTTTTTTAAGTTGAGGTATAATTTACAGTGAACTGCCCAGAACTTAAGTTTGACAAGTTTACAAATTTCACAAATACCTTCCTACATTCCAGACGAGATCTAGAACATTCCTATCACTCCAGAAAGGTCTCTCATGCTTCCTACCGTCAATCTCCATCCTTCAAAGGCAGCTACAGTGCTGATCTCTCTCAGTACAGAATAGTTTCACCTGCTGTAGAACTTTATATGAAATGAAACCTCAGATGCAATCCAAAAATATGCACTCTTTGGCCTCTTTCATAAAAGTATCAGATTCAACCGTGCTAGCACTATCCCAGCAGCCCACTCTTTTTTTTATAGCTATGTATGTACATATTACACTTGTTTATTCACTCACCTATTGTCTTAGCTCTTTTCTGTTGCTACAACAAAATATGTGAGACAGGGTAATTTAGAAAGAATGTAAGTTTATTTGGCTCATGGTTCCGGAGGCTGAGAAATCCAAGAGCATGGTGCTGCCATCTGTTCAGCATCTGGTGAGTCAGTTCTTGATGTATCATAACAAGGCAGAGGGCATCACACGGTGAGAGGGCAAGAAAATAAGACAAAGCCATTCCTTAAAACTATCTCACTTCTCAGAATGGCCTTAAACCACTGGAAGGAGGAGCCCACATGATCTAAACACCTCCTACGAGGCCCCCACCTCCCAACACTCCTGCACTGGGAATTGAGTTTCCAACACACGAACTTTTGGCGACCCGTTCAAATCATAGCACCTGTTGATGGACATCTGGGTTGTTTTCATTTTTCGTTTTTCTTTCTTTTTTTTTTTTTTTTGGTGATTATGAACATTTTTGTACAAGTGGTGTTAGGGTTATTTATAAGATTGAATACCGAGATTAGAAAAGATGAGTTCAGAATTGAGTTTAGTGGGATTTGAGGGACTTGTGAGACATTCAGGTAGCGAGGTCGGGACCCCACTGGAGTATAGTGTAAGGTGGAGAAAGAAGCGGGCTAGCAGTTTACATTTTCTGTACCTCTAGCCTTTACATGAAGGTAAAGCTATGGAGAAGTCCTCAAGTGAAGCATGAGGCGCGATACATAGTAAATCCCGAGAGGTTTCCAGGTTTGGGGATCCAACTACAGAGAAACCCTGACGACGCTCAGGGAAGCATGGCCTTTTGTCTTTGCGTCTCCTGGCCTGCCACCCAGCGCACAGTCACCTCCCATAGGCTCAATCTGAGCATGGGAGTGCAGGGTGCATGGTGGCGACAGACTGTGGCAGCAGGGCTCTCAAAGGCCAGAACCGGCGTGGCAGACTGCAGAAGAGGAGGGGGCGGGAAAGCCGACTCACTCCACCTTTGCTCCCGTTGGGAAGCGGAGCACGAATCTTTAGAGACCCAGAGTGAGATACGGCCAGGCTACTCAGGGCCTCCAAGGGGTCAGAATTCAGACCCCAGCGGCGGCCGCCGCGGATTCTGGAGCAGGGCGTGACACAGGGGATTTCCTTTTGGGAAGTGTGCTCCGGCGGCGGTGCCCTGGTGACCGCGTCGCGTCGTTAGCGGTGGGAGTACTTTTCCCCCAGTGCCTTGGCTTGGCGGCTGCTGCGCACTGCACGCCCGTCTCTGACCAGGTGCGGCAACTTGGACTCGGAGCCTGGGCAGCAGCAGGCTAAGGCGGCGGCTCGGGCGGCAGGCGGGAGCCCCTGCGTGCGCGCCGGCCAGGACGCGCGGCGCCCAACCCTAGGGCGCAGCGGCCGGGGGCGGGGCCGTCTCCGGGCAGGACCACGCCCCTGCCTCCTGCGCACGCGCGCTGCGGGCCGTTAGCTGTCAGGACCAGGCGGCTGGCGGGCGCGCGGCGGGAGCCGACGTCTGCGCCAGGACCCGGCGGGCTGAGCCCGGCGCAGCGACATAGGCGAGGGCAGCGCCGACCCTCGCTCCTGGCCGGGTCGCAGAGGCGAGCAGGGAGCCGCGGGCAGCCGCTCCTGCAGACAAGATGGGGAACCGGGAGATGGAGGAGCTGATCCCGCTGGTGAACCGGCTGCAGGACGCCTTCTCGGCTCTGGGACAGAGCTGCCTGCTGGAGCTGCCGCAGATCGCCGTGGTGGGCGGCCAGAGCGCCGGCAAGAGCTCGGTGCTCGAGAACTTCGTGGGCAGGTGAGCGCGCGGGCGCGGGGCTGGCAGCCCGCTCCTGGCCGTTGGAACGGGGTCGAGCCGGGTGGGCAGGAGCCCAAGAGGGCATCGGGGACGGCGGCGGGGACCGCCAGGCGGGCCGTCTCCTCAGGCTCCGGGCATCCTCCGACCGCCTCCCGCCTGGTGGCCCCCAGGCTGCCTCTCCTCCTGCGATACAAAGCCGTTTCCTTCCAGCGCTCGGGTCGGGGCGTCTGGGGGGAGGGGGTCCGCCCCGGGATGGACGTCCCCGCCTCGGCGCGCCGGCCGCGGGTGAGCTGCGTGCGTAGCGCTCCCGGGCGCTGCCCTGTCCGCTTCTCCTCAGAGGGGCTTGTCGCCGACCCGCCCACCGCTGCATCGCCCCGGTTCCCGGAACCCCTCGGTATCCGCGGTGGGAGACGGCCGTCGCCTGTCCCCGGCTGAGGAGGCGGGGTGTGAGGAGAAAGCCGTGGTTTGTTGTGCAGAGAGGCTTGCTCCAGGGACGCTCCCGGAGGGGAAGAATGGAAGGCGGTGTGCGCGGGGCGCTCCTCGTCGCCGCCCGGGCTCGTGTGCGGGCTCCGGGCTGCCCACCCTGCGGCGCGGACGCGGGCTCTCCCTGTCCAGGTGCCATGTCATTCTTGCGCCAGCTCGGGACTGGCCGGCATCCCTCTCGCACTCTGTGCGCCCCCTCCCCCAGCGTCGTTTTCCCTAGGCGGCTCTTGTTTGTCTTGCAAGATGACATTCTGAATCTGAATGGCAGCTGTGGTTTTCTCCCTGACCCTGAACACGGCAAAATAATGAAAAAAATTTATTATTATTTTTTTGAGTTGGGGACCAGCGTTTCTTCCACTGAGCAATTCACGAGGGATTAAAGTTACCCTCGCGGCCTTGTCTAAGGAGCGCAGGGATTGAAAGCCTCGTGAAAGCTGACGTTTGTCTCCTTGTGGTACCAGCCAGGTAGAAATGTCCAGCAGCGGAGAGAGAGCTGGAGGGGACGCTCCAGAGGTCGTACTTTATTCTTTTTATGTGGCTCATGAGTGACTTGGAAAGCAGAGGTTCGCGTTCCTTTTTCTTTCTTTTTTTTGTTAATGCTTGGTGGCGTCCAGCGTTATCAAGAGCTGGATAGTCCCACATCTCTTTTGAAAATGTTAGGATTCAGAGAGTGCTTATTATTTTTCTCTCACGTGATGTTACAGTCTCTCAGATGATACACTTTTCATATTCTTTCCCCTTTCTGAATGATCCAGAAATGTAAGAAACAATTTTAAAAAGTACAATTACGACTGGCTGGTATCCTTGAATAATTAATCACTTTGCCTTGGCTTTATTATTTATTTTGGACAGCGGGAAAGTGATGGTAAAACATTTTGCCTACGTCATCATCTGATGAAGTGATGTATGAATGTGTGATTTCAAACATGTGTGTATATATGTATTACCAGTGAAACTCACTAGATTTAAAGTGGCATCCAAAGGATGTAAGGTTTGATGACATTGTATTTCTGGCTTTTCAAATACCGGAGCATTCTATTCTATGGTGCCTTAAGAGTTACTTAACTATATTTGTTTTTTAAACAAATACTTAAACATTAAAAATTGTAAATATTTCAAATGCAGTTACCGTATTTTTATTGATCTTTAATATATTGATTTAGATGAGCCTATATGAGGGAACTGTGGATGGAAAATGTGTATAATGAAAAAATTGTGCATGTATTTCAAGGTGTTTTTTTTTGCACCAAAACAAACTTATCTTTTAATTCCATTTCCATGAACTTTTTGAAATACCTTATAAGTGCATTGTTTATGGCCTAAGTTTGGAATCTAATGTCAATTCTACACTCCAGGTTTTCAAATCTTAACTCTTGTTAATGCCATAATAAAATTGTCTCCATTTTTCCTCACTAGCTATAATCTTTTGAGTGAGAATATATAACAGTAAAATATTTATTATCAAACACTTATTATGATAGAATGAAAAAGGAACATTATAAATGCTATAAAAATCAGAGGACTTACCAGAATGCATTAGTAACTTGTTGTTCTTTTAAAAAGTTTTACCAATAATTAAGTACTGTTAGGATGTCAAATCGAAGTAAAGGATGAACATAGAAGAAAAAGCTTATGTAACAAATATGGCCTTTATTAACTGTATAGATGACACCTGCCTGGCACAGCTTTTATATTAGGGAGAACATTTAATTAGAAAGGTCATTTGACTTTAATAAAGATTTTGGTCACTGAATTATTGAGAAATCTAATTTCTAATTATATATCAACCTTAGGGAAAATGGAGTTCTCTCTCTCTTTTTGATAAGAGATTCAGTTGAGATGGAAAAAATGGTACTCATATTTCATTATCTTTTCGCTCTTTATTTTTATTATCTAGTATTTGCAGTAAAGACAAAGTCTTTTCTAAGAATGCACATCTTATCTTTTATATAGTCTACTTTCATTTTAAGAGCCTGACCTAATGTGCAGTTATTAAATCCTGTCATCAAACAAGGGGTCATCGCTTGTATAAATTAATACATAGTGTTTGCTCAGGATGTAAGCTTGTTCTCTGCAAAATAGCGATGCATTTTCCTCCTTCATATTTAACAATCCTAACCATATCTTCTCCTCTCAGATAGTTTGCTTATATTGATTTTTGCCACCAGTGAATTAATTTGAATGTGAATATGTCTACTTCATTTTATTGTAGCTGTAAAAACCGATTTTGGGGTGACAAGCTTGAGATTGTCAGGAATAAAATGAGTTATGAATAAACTGCTTATTTGTGACTCTTGCTGAAGTGATGAATTTCCAAGTCTATGTAATATAATGTGAGTAACCAGATGGTTCTTTTGGCTGTTCAGGATGAGATATATGTTGGCAGTGAGAGGCAGCCTAAGAGCTAGTGAATAGAAACTCAGATCAATGGTCTGATTATAGGGGTTCACTAGCTGACTTGGGTCTGCTCATTGGTCTCATTTAGGTGCAAAATAATTGAATTTATTCAGTTCCTTTCATGATATATAAAAAGTGTGTATACTACATATATGTATTCTTGCAGTGTAATAATAATGATAATAATGGTAAACATTTATTGAGTACTTGCTACATTTCTATTATTCTGTATGCTTTTAAATGGAAAATATTGTTAGAACTTAATAAAATCACAAAGACGGAGCCCCCGCTGTGGCTTAGCTGCTGCCTGTGGTACTGGCATCCCATATCGGTGCAGGTTCCTGTCCTGGCTGCTCCTCTTCCGATCTGGCTCTCTGCTGTGGCTTGGAACAGCAGTGGAGGATGACCCTAGTGCTTGGGCCCCTACACCTTTGTGGGAGACCTGGAAGAAGCACCTGGCTCCTGGCTTCAGATTGGCCCAGCTCTGGCTATTGCAGCCATTTGGAGAACGAACCAACAGATGGAGGACCTTCCTCTCTGTAACTCTGCCTCTCAAATAAATAAATAAAATCTTAAAAACAAAATCACAAAGAGGTAGGTACTTTTATGAGTATCATTTTACAGAAGAGGAAATTAGAATTTAGAGAATTTGAGTAACTTGCTCAAGGCTAATTTAATTCAACATAAAAACAGTGGAGTTAGGATTCAACCAGAGATGTTTGAGTGGCATTACCCATGCTCTAAACCCTCTGGAATACATTGTCCCACCATATTGGTGTTTATTAGTTCGTCTGATTAGTACTTTTAACTTTTTTTTACAGTCTATATAAACCCTGCTTATATAAAAAAGCTGCTATATTAATCTTTTTATCAATATTCATTTATATATGTCTGTCTTGCCTCATTTGATAGAGGATTTGAGGCAACCTCTAAGCAGGAACTACGTTAGTTAAAAAATACGTATTTTCTTTATTATATTAGATATTTATGAATTAGTATATTTAAATATGTGTTTAGGGTGCATATAACCTTTTTTTTTTTTTTTTTTTTGGAAAGAACTAAGCTTAGCAAATTTATTGTTGCCAAATGAATTCACTGCCCAAGTGCTATTTGACATTTGTTTGTTTGCAGGCTTGCAAAATACGTTAATAGTGGTAATGCCAGCTATCTTATTTTAGCACAGGCTACATAACTTAGTTTTTTCAAAATCTCTCTGAAAGCATTATAGTTTTAACACTTAGAAAGGAAGTGAGTAGAGGTCTTCAGCAACATAAAACTGTCCCCTGAAATTCTGACTCACAAAAGCCCACTCATATTCATCCCGTGGACACTACTGGGTACCTACTGCCCTTCTCAGAGCTGGCTTGCTTATCACTTACGGTAAGGTGTCACTTGTGATTAGTATGCTGATTAAATCCAATAAAGAGGTTCCTCCACCCAGTTCCCAAAAGTGAGCAATATCTTTGGGCGTGTTGTGCCCCTTTGCTCTTCATCTGTAGGTATATTCCAAAGTCAAGGTTGGATTTGGTGGCTCATCCCTGTCAAGACACCTTAGAATAATAGTAGTGTTTCCCCCGTTTTTACTGCCAATGAAGAAAACAGATTTTTCTCGAATTTCAACTCCATTGCGTTCACTTCCACTAGTCCCTTTTTCGACTTCAGCTTTTGCAATTTCCCATAGAGTTTCACTGGGCATTGTGGCAACCAATAGGTTGCTAATGTGCAAATATTTTTTAGTGATACACTCATTAGGAATATTATTTAATGCTAAATATATAGGCAGAAAATTATACACTGTTTTATTCAAGCCTGAGTGGTAAACAGACTTTCAGTTCTTCATAAGTAGAAAAGGTATTGTGGTTAATTTGATAGCTAGACCAAATTAAATGTTTTTTGAAAAGTTATTCTGCTGATCAGAGTTTATTTCAATGTGGAAATCTTCAAGTGATGTGTAGTATATTTAGTTGTGAGATTCTAAAAGCAGATATTTTTATTGTCAAATTAAAGTTATTTTGAGGGAGAACCATAAAAGTGAGCCACTTGATGCTGTTGCTGAATGAACATGATCGAATAATTAAAATAAAACAACAAACTAAGTCATTTATAAGACTATAGATTGC